GCACACAGTAAATATCAAGTTTGCTTATCTGGCTTTAACATACTTATTTTTTACATTAAAACATTTGTGTCTTTATTTTGAACTTTTTAAAATTTCTATTTCTCCAAATGTATTTGAATTAATATACTGAAGAAATATTTTAGCCTTATTACTTATAACTTATTACTGCTGATCAGCAATATCGCATCTACAGCTACTTCCTGTTCAAAACTTTGCATACTAGAATTGCTTCGGTCCTACTCTGATATCTTGCAAGCCATCGCATCAAAGTGTAATATATAATATAATACAGTATTAGTAATTATAATAACATTTAATCATCCTTTTGTCCAAATTAAACTAAACTATGTCTAGTTTTTGATGTGTGAAGTAATCCAAAGGTGTTACACCAAAACCAGTTATCATTATTAATTACTAATGATGAATTTATCAAGGCTGAAACTATCATACATATTTATTGTTTCATATAACTAGATATGACAACAATATTTGTTTTCCTAATACACAGATTCCTCATCTGGTCCATAAAGTAAATTTTATTTATTGTTTTATTTCCATAAAACATCCTTTTGAAGTAGCTGACATTTAGTATTTTTTTTTAAAATAATTTTATATTCTTCTACAAAGATCATTACATGATAATATAAGAGAAATAGTAAATATTTCACTAAAAGTGATAATTGTAAATCTGATTAAACAGGATTCATTTATTGCAATTCATATATCAGTATTTAAAGTATCACAAAGAATATTTTTTCATGGAGATCTGGAGGTGATCACACTACAAGACAGAGAGAGACAACATAACATGACAAGCATCACATCAGCAAGTTTGTATTTTGTATTTTAAAAACTACTCGTCACTTCACTTCTGTGCTACTTCTTCAATTCTCTGACCAAACGAATCTAATTTGTCTAAGCTGCTGGTTTTTGCCTTGGAGAAAAAGAAAATATAAAGGGCTGTAAGAAATATCAAATATGGACATTTTAGAATATTTTTAAATGCTTACATGTTGTTTGTTATTACTATGTAATTATCATGTTGTCAATAGCATGTAGAAACACTTCAGCACAGCTTTTGAACACTAAAAAGGCTGGTGTGAGGCAAAAATGACCCTGCAGGGTGTAGTGTTTTCCTGAATCTCCGTGAGAGGTTTTTTGTATAGTTTTGCTTGAGTCTCAGAAACATCCCTGCTAATGTTTACACAGGATCTCCTCACATCTATGAATAACTATAACTATAAAAGGCGTGTAATTTATGAAATGGGTTTGCTGTAGATTGACAGAACAACCTTTTAAGGTGTTTACAGATTTATTTTATTCTTAGTCCATACTGTACATGATTGGATTGCAGAAACGACCATACTTTATTTTTTTGAACAAAGTATGATGAATGTGTGATTGGTCCACTTGGATCTTTTCTATTTCCTGTTTTTTTTTTTTAAATATATGTTTTGCAATGACCCTGATGAAGGCCACAAACTGAAACATGTTGGTCACCTAATAAAGTTGTTCCCTAATACTCGCTGGAGTATTCATGTCATAATACTTTATTTTTTACCATGTTATTATCAAAAAAGGACATTTTTGAAAACTGACATTTACTACTACTACTGCTGCTAATAATGTCTAACAGGTTTGTGCAACTGATAAGTGACTGTCATCATCCTTGTAATAAGTTTGAAAAGCAAAGAGAATGGTTTAGTTTAGTTTACCAAGATCCCCATTAGCTCCTGCAGTAGCAGTAGCTATTCTTCCTGGGCTCTGACGAAGGTTTTAACATTTTTTTTTCATACATAAAACGTGTACTACATGGAAGACAAGAAAAGGCTCATAAACAACAAAACAACACAATTAAAAACAACAGCTCTACATGAAACATAGATGAATTGTTACGGTGCAACATTGGACAGTCTCAGTTGTTGTGTCCTTGGGCAAGACACTTCACCCGTTGCCTAATGGTGGTGGTCAGAGGGCCCGGTGGCGCCAGTGTTTGGAAGCCTCGCCTCTGTCAGTGCACCCCAGGGTGGCTGTGGCTACAATGTAGCTTCCCATCACCAGTGTGTGAATGGGTGGATGACTGAATGTGTAAAGCACTTTGGGGTCCTTAGGGACTAAGTAAAATACAGGCCATTTACACATACTCTGATAAGACTGATGCACAGCGGAAGTCAGGGTTCAGTTTGTTGCTGAAGGATTCCTCAGCACAAGGGAGGAGCTGAGATCAGACCACCAACCTTCCAACTGGTAGATGTGCCACTCTACCTCCACCCCTGCTGGTGGAATGAACTGAAAAAAATGAGAGAGTTGTATATTCATCTCTACATCATTTTCCTGGAGACTTGCCACGGCCCTTAAAGTGTTTACATTATAAAGTGATGAATTAGACTGCGGAGACCTTCTTCCTCAAAAAAAAAAAA